GTTTTGTCTTTAAGAATTTGTTTGCTTCTAATCTTCCAAAGTGTCTTGGAATCAGAGAAACTGTCACAAGAATGTTCTCAAAATGCACTCAGTGCTGTGGAGGAATATTGCTCAAAAAGGCTTCATAGTCTTCATAACAAAATAAAGAAGGCACTAAAAATTACTGGAAGACACCCAAATACCTGTCAGTGCCATGTTATGGGAAAGTTTGATGAAATATACTTGTCCATATACCTGTTCACACCTAGACTACATCCTTTAGCTGGGAATCACAGTAAGGATTGTACCACAAGGCAAATAATGAAAAACATTCTTTTAAGTTGAGAAATCAAGTTCAGACCTTAGACAGGTTACTTGGGGGGAAGGAGGAAGTGTTCAGAAGAATATATTGCACCACCATAAAGATACTTCAAAATATCTAGCTTCTTTTATTGAGAAAAAACCTAATGATTTTCCTGGAAGGCAATACTTAAAGGAGATGATAATTACAATGCTGTCCAGTCCCACTGTAGGAATAATTCTTGTTTAGCCTGAAAGAAGAAATAAGTGATAGCGTGGTGCTGTTTCTCAAAAGAGCCCTTTTCCTAATTTAATTTTGCAGAATTGCTTAAATTATTTTTACACATATTTTGGGTAATAGGGTTTTGCACAGACTTCAGTGAAATCTGAGTATTACTTGTAGTCTAAGGATATCTACTAGATCAGTGTTCACCAGTGCTTAAGCCACATCCTTGATCCTTTCTGAGTCCTGACTGAGCTTCACCAGGAGCTAGTGTCCAGGTTCTCAAACCACGGCACTGATGAGCATCAGCTGGCCGACTGTCTTACCAACTGTGCTTGCAGTGCCATAGTCTGCTTCTTCTACAATGGAAAAATGTACTTTAGTGAATTAATCTTTTTGGTAGAACTTTATTTTTACCTAGGAAAACTTTCTGGTGACGAAACACCCTTCTTGGGGGTGTTCTACAGAGCCTGCTGTAGGCAGTTATGCAGATAGTAGGTTCCATTTTTTTTTTTGAAGAAGAAGAAGATCGTTCCCCTGAATGGGGAATTTTGGATTCTGATTCATCTGCCCTGAGTCACCATTTGCAGCCCATTAATTTCCCCTCACTGGCCAGAAGTTAGTCTCCTAATTATGAACCTACCATGAAGTGTTCCACAGGTCAGGCTGGCACAAAACAAAAGATCGTGTCCAAATGATGCTCACACCAAGACACCCTGTATGCAACTGGCCTCACCCTCTAAAATATGAAGCAATGCAAAGGAAGAATGGTGAAAGCACAAGCTGATGAGGAGACGCAAGGTTGCTTCCCAAGACGACTGAGCAGTGCTCAACCTACCCACCTCACACTAAGTAGGTCATACCTACTGCATTAGTTCCTGCACAAACATCCACCTTCATTCAGGATGCATCATCCCAGTACCAGCTGACATTGAAATTCCATTTCTCACATCCTTTGAGGTCCACATACCTCCAAAAAGGTTTTCCTTTTTGGAACAAAACAAAAAAACAAACAAAACTTCTTGGGCAAAAGCCTTGCTAGAGGATTTGCTGCAGAGAAAGCTTGGAGACAGTCATCCTGGGGAGGAAACGGCTTGTGAAGAGTGTGATATCAAATCAGGCAGCGCGTGGTTGTGTTTGGAGAGGAGATTGTGGATACCTCCCAGGCCACCAAGCTGATATTCCAGGGACCTTGGGACCCATCCAAACTGGATCCCGCCTGCAAGAAGATGTAGAAATTACATAGGATAACTGGAGCTTTGGGATCTAATTGAACTGAAAGGGTTGTCAAGCATTGGAACAGGCTGCCCAGGGAACTGGTAGAGTCACCATCCATGGAGGTATTTAAAAGCTGCGTAGATGCGGTGCTTAGGGACATGATTTAGTTGTGGACCGGGCACTGCTAGGTTTATAGTTGGACTTGATGATCTTAAAGGTCTTTTCCAACCTAAATGATTCTATGGTTCTGTTCTATGATTCATCCGCAGGGTTCTTCCTGCTTTTCCTTCTGGTCATTTTACTCCCACCTTCTACTCCAAGTCTCTTTCAAATATGTTATTGCATATAGTGCTAAAAAGCCACCTGCTTGTCTTTTTGATTAAACTACTCTTGTACAGGACTTTCTACGTGCAACCTTTGTATCCCTTTGTTCTATCCCAATCCTCACCTTCTTTTTACTTGGCTTCTTTCACAGTGTTCCTCCTCTCCTTCTGCTTGAATCCTTATTCTCAAACATTGTTTCCTTAAGCCCTTATTAAAAAAATATACCATCTATTCTTCAACCTTGAGAACTGAACACAGCAAGAGATGTAGAATTGTCTTTCAAATAATGCTCTTTTTCAGGGTGTGCTCTCTATTCCTCCTTTCTGTTGACCCTCTTGTTCTCTCTACTCTTTTCCTTCTCTTTACTGTGTTTTAAATCTTGTTGGATGAACTCTATAACTAAGTGCTTACCAGAAGGATTTCAAGTTGTTTGGCAGATGCCAAGCTGAACATTTTTTTAGATATCCTCTGGCGTCACAGTTTCCTGCTGATTTTGGTGTGTTGGCATTGTTCACGTCAGCAAAATATCTCGCAAACTGCGCTGGTGTGATTGAACCACACCAGTAAATGTAAAATTCTGTGGTTATAACTGAAAATGTTTACCTTTGACTCTTTGCTCTCTCACACTAGTCTTTAAATAATGTTGCCATTAGATTCATTGTGCCTGGATCTACTATTAAGGAGAGTTTTTTTGGAAACCATTCAGAATAAAGTAAATGCTGGTGCCTTGCTAAGTAGTAAGATACCCATTAGCATTCTAAAAGAGTGCAAAGCTAATACTGCAACTTTAACTTATGTTAAAGTCATGCTCAAGTAAACCATCCTTTAGACTGATTTTTTTTTTCCAAACAATTTTAAGCTATATTAGAAAGATTGTTTGTTTGGGTTTTATGTGTCTGCAACATATATGTATGTAGATTTCTAGGCCAGAAGCAGTTACAGAGGTGTACATGTATTGCATATGCTCCAGAATAATATGTGAAAGGAGCTTTAGTTGATTCCCAGATCTGAAAATGGTTATCTGAATGAATCCTCATATGCTCTGCTTGAGGCTTCTCATGTTCCTTAACATCCTTGCCTAATTAAGCTGTACATTTCCTAGTTTTTAAATAGCTGTCCCCAGCTGTTGTGCATTAGTGGATCCCACTGCAAGTCTAAAAATTGGCTGAAACTATTTTTTAAATTTAGAATTTGGTCTGAGTTTAATTTAGCCAATGTTTACTACTATAACCTATTCTGTTTCTCTGGAGAGAGAGGCTTAGGCAGTGAGGTAGTACCATTTCACACGTACAGTAACTCAGATAGCCATAAGAAAACTGAGTCTGAGGAATTAAAAAAAATCTCTTCTTCACAGAACACGTTAAGTAACAATATCATGCTAGATAAGCAAATAAGGTACAGGGTAGGTGTATTTTTTAATAAGTATTTAACTTTATTGAAAAATGTACTTAAAATATGGTACATCTGATAAATGCTGAACTTTCTGCAAGCTACCATGGTACAGAAAACTACAGAAAAGTATAAAATACTCAGTTAATTTGCTGCCAGAGAATTTTATCACTGAACCAGTCATGGGTGAGTTTAAATAAACTTGAGTTTTAAGTTCCTAATCCATTCTTAGCCAGTAGTAGCAAAGTTTTTATAGATGCAAGAGAGACTTTTTTTTTATTTCAGCTTCAACTGTCTCAATTAATTTATTAAAACCCTAAACCCCTCCCATTTTCAATTTAAGAAATCAGTGTCTTACATATTCCTGTCTTAATAAAAGAATAGGTATGAGTTAAGATATTTTACTTCCAAAATCTTAAGCATAAACACAAAACCAAATTTAGCTCCTCACTACTGATTACTTTATCAAACCAATTTCTAATAAAATTATGTCAAGTAAAAACCAAAACCCAACATGTATTTAAGCGCATAACCTATTTTTAGTTAAATAACACTAAAATAAACAATCAGAAAGGTAACTTCATGCACTGTAGTTAAATTTTAGTTTACATCCAAGTAAAAAGTTCATGTAAGTTGCAAATAACGCCCTGGATATTCAGTTTCCTTCTTTTAGGATTAAGAATGGTACATTTCTTGGGTGAATCAAATATCAGTTAAATCTTTTCACACCTTTGTCATCACACTAATAAATGTATCGTCTCATTCAGCAAAACCTGCCACCTTTGATTAAAAGATAGAATTTATCATTTTAACTTAACTATATATCTAACAATACCAACCAGCGAGAATAGGCCTGGCCTTAAAATGTAGGATGCAGCTGCTGTTAAAATATAAGATTTAAGCAAAAGGAAAACCTTGATTTAAACCAGAATTAACATCTCTGGTGTTCTTAGTTTTGCTTGTTCTTTTTTTATTTTTATTTTTCCCCAATGGATCCGTTCTGCTGCTTCCAACCCTCTGAGTTTATTCATTCTTGTTAAAGCACCTATCTGGTGCAACAGGGAAGGTTATACCCAGAAATAAGTGAGTAAACCAAAACATAAAGGAATCATTCCCGAAGTATAATGAAAGAGAGAAACAAACCGGGGCTCTACATTTTTGGAAGCTGTGGATATGGTTGAAGAGGAGGAATAAAGAGACAATTGAACTGAGCTGGAGAATGCAACTCTCACACAATCGATCTCATTTGTTTCCATTTTGTGCGTGTGTGCAGGGGAGTTAAGAAGAGCAGGAAAGAAGGTGGGAACAAATTTCAGTTAAATTTGATTAGTGCCTAGACGAAGAGAAGGATAGACTAGGAAAAGTAAATTTAAAAAGGGGGTTGAGCAAGAGGTAGCTCAACTTTGTTCTAGCCCATTCACAGTACCTGAAATATTCTTTTATCTTCTCGTTTAAATTTGGCTATTTGGTGTGGTTTGGTTTATTCCTTATTCTCTGTGCAGAGTTCTTAGAGTGGCTTTATTGCTGATAACCAGCACTAAGAAACCCCGCCCAGCGCATTCGGCTGATGCCGGAGAGCCCGAGTGGAGTTAACGACCCGGCGAAGGGTGGGAGGACTCAGGAGTCAGGAGACTCCGGCTTTGAAAAGGTCTCAATTACTGTGGGCTGGGCCCGGGCATCCAGACAATAGGAGCTGGAGATGAGCGGTTGGAAGGTGCATTTCCCTTGCAGCTTTTAAGCCCAGCTGTGTGGGGATTCTCTCGGTGGTTTCCCTCATGCCCCATCCCAAACTCGACTTTTACTGCTGAGCTGATGTAGCCGTGGGGTAACCTGGAGAGCTGGTGAGTTTTATACTGCGTAAGAGTACAGGGGGTGAAAAAAGTTGCTGAATCTTTTCCCTCTGAGATCAGATGAACTCCAGTGCTATAATCAAGGGAAACGTCTGGGAGTGGGAAGGGTGGGACTGCGGCAGAAATACTTTAGTTGTTGTCATGAAACTTCCCTTACAGGAAAGCCAGAGGTGGCTTAGGTGATGGGGTTAAATGCCTTTTCTAGGGCTTTGCCTTTATTTGCTGACTGGGGAGGATCATTGTAGTACCTGGACCGTTGAAGACGAACTGAATGATTCTGTGATGAGGAGGCAATTGATTGTGGGCAGGAAGAGAAGAAAGGAGATGAGGGAAGATAAAAATAGGCTGTGAGACAGAAGGTGGTGTCACTGTGGGACAAAATGTTCCATGACTAGCTATAAGAAGTTTTTGGACATTTTGCTATTTGCACAAGAACAGTTGTGACTGATTTATCACTGAGTGGTGCTATTTCTTAGAGTCATTGGATTTGTCAAATCACATCAAGAAAAAGAGAGATCTTGCAATTCCAGGGGAGAGCTGCCTTCAATGGGAACTCTATCTGATGCCTGCAAAGGCCATCAAACCCAACAATGAGGTCTCTGAGCTGAATCCAGCTATCCAATTTGAAGAACACTTTTCTCCGTTTCAGTTTGATCATCTAGTTACTTGTCAAGAGTTCTTGGTTTCAAAGTAATTCAAAAAGCCTTTCTGATACCTGTTAGCTGATAGAAAACAAAAAATAATAAAAGGAAGAATAACCCAGTTACTCCCTGGAATGACTAGCTTTCCATTGATTAAAGTAATTAGACTGATTTTTCAGGAACTGCAATATCTCCATAACTGATACAAGGAAGGGGGAAGAGTAATAGTGAAATCGTGACTCCCTGTGACTGATAGTTTATAATTTACCTGTAACATAGCACCTTACCTGTAAGTATCTGTAAACCTTCATTCTATTCCACCAGACCACAGCTAAAATTAATATTATGCTGGTGTAAATTAGCACCGGTGCCACAAAACAGAAAAATTCTTTTCCTGTGCCTGGCTGCTTCTTTCTGCCCCTGTGCATGGCAAAGCTTTTGAGTGATAATGGTGCAACATGATACCAGAAACCAATTTAAGTTTAAAATTTTTTTTTTTCTTTATTGGGACATTTTAAAGCTGAGTCTATTTCCCAGACTGGTTCATTGTGTAGCTAAAAAATCCTGTGCTGATGTTGGGGGGAAGGTACAAAGAGCAGGGACTTCTTAAATTGGCACCGGTGCCCAGGTAGCCAAGTTCCTTGTATCCTTGTGTTAGATGCCACTGTCTCAGTTACACTTGTATTTTTAATGTATTCTTATGGAAATGTAGGGTGTTTTGTGGTTTGTTTCATTTTAATTTAGAAGGCAAGGCTTTTGTATTACCACAGGTATTCGGCATTGGTATCCTAGCTATGTGATTGCCTGAATACCGCCTTGCTGTAGGGCGTATGGTTGAATTCCACTGAGGATGTTAAATCCAGAGACTGTAGCAGACTGTTTCTGTATAGAATATCTCTTTCGGTGTCTGGGGTAATCTCGATGTTACCTGCGTGGTGGTGGCTTTCTGGTCTGAAAGTGTAACATGTTTTCAAGTGTCTTGTACTTTGCCCTCTAGGAAGCTAACTGACCTTCCAACATCAGGGTCTTCACTGGAGAGCTAACTAAAACGTAGAATTTCAAACAGAGAAATTCAGAAAAAACCCCAGAGTTTGTTTGGGTTTGAAGGGGTGGAGGGAACAAGAGAGAAGGGATTTTTCTTAGTGGAAGTCAATTGAAATTAACTTATTGACAGTGGAAATTCTCGTCTTGTCTTGGGAATGTTGAAGTTGAGTTGAACTTTGATACTTGAACCTGCATTTCACCACTGTGCCATATTGTCTTTAGGGTGTTGTCTTTTGGAAACCTTAGTATATTATTTAACCAAATAAATCAGGCTCTTTGACCAAGTTATTTCTTCCAGAATGCACCCAGTGGCTGTGCTTCCTGCACAGGCGGGTAGGAGGCGTGCCTGTGTAATGTCAGGAATTGCATCATCTTCTGTTTATTTTTTCCTTCTTTGAATAGAGTTAGAAAACTCTGATAGTTCTTGTCACCTGAGATAATCAGATCTCAAAAAATGGTGTGGAGACAGCTGCACACGCAATATGAATATTATTTGGGTTTATACCGTGCAGTACTTGAATTAAACTTCAGAAAAGTTCATTAATTGTGTTTTGGGGTTTTCCAGGTTGGAAAAGGTCTGGTCTCCAGAGTTCAATGTTTTGATGTTGGTGATGAATTGTTTAAGCAAGAAGAACCCAGTGGCACTGGGAAGTACAAAAAAAGATGGCACTTTAGATTTATTTTGGGGAGAGCTGGGGTGAGCCAAAACGGTTGGTGGGAAAAAAGCAAACTTGGAAGGTCACGAGTCCTTGTAAAGATCTGTCTAGAGGCTTTGAGGTCTAAAGTCTGATTCAGCAGAGGGTTCAGTGTTACACAGTAATGTAGCTCAATTTACGAATCCTTGCAAATACCAGGAGTTCAAAAAAGAAGGTCCTCAGAGTACCATCTGTTCTAGGAAGTTGGATTGTAAAGTTATTTGTTTTGTCTGTCCACCCTCACCCACATAAAACATGAACATTTCCATTCCATAGGCACTTAGATTTTAAATGCAGTAAGCAAACCCCTTGATATCAGTGGTTAGTTTAGGAACGTCTTGAAGGATTTCTCTTTAATTCGGATATTAAGGCTTTCAGTCTTCAGAACTGGCTCCAGATTCTTTATCAAAGAGAATCACAGCAATTTAATTCTGTATTTGTATTAGTGCTGTGTAGTACAAAGTAAATTCTGTTCCCCAATAATCAATAACATTTAAAAGTATTTTCATTTAACTTTATTAAAATGACAAATAATACTGCAAAACTTATTTCCATGGTCTGTCATTTCCATCTTAGTTTTCCTAATTTTACCTGCAAACTGAATTTATCTAAATTTGGTTGCAACTTCTAATAGGATTTTTATTTTTTTCAAGTCTTAATATTTTTTCAACTTATTCTGCACTTACTCTGTTAGAACTTATTCTGGTAGAACATCAATATAGTCTAGTCATGGTTGTTAGATGCCAAGTATTAGGAAATCAATCTGGTAATGTGAATGGACACCGTGGTATCCAAATATTCTCTTATCCAAGGTGATGGGGACATCTCAAACAGTGGTAGTTAGCTTTCTCCTGTAAACTTATGGTGCCTGGCAAAAGGAAACACTGCTGAATCTGATTATCTGATTTATTTATTTTTTTTATTTGGGGAGAGGATGGTGGGAGGAATGGTGGTGCAGGCTGCAAACAGGGATAGTGGCACGTGGAAAGTTGTGAAGATGTAAGAGGGAACTGGCACAACTTAAGCAGCAGGGATTTGGGCTAAGGAGGCAGACCGAAGCAGTTAGATTATGGCTAAGGGCAGAAGAAAGCTTACACTGCTTCTCATACACACATTAGACTCAACAAAAGGGCTGTTGCTGTCATTATGTGAACCTCAAAAAAGGCAAAATAAATGTGTGCTCTAGCAGTAGGTGGTCTGCAGAAGTCCATGTCTCATATCCTGTCAGAGACTGGTAGGTAGGAAAAAAAGGCTCCCATTCTGAGTTTAAGTCCTGTTAGCAGGGTGTCTCTAAGTTACATACACACAGAGGCATACAAACACCCTTAGAAGCAATAAACTGTTTTCCACAGATTTATTTTTGAAAGTGACGCTGTTTGTGTTTGGTGGAAACCAAAATGAAACTTCACGTTCATTAGTAACTTTATCTTTTAGGATTAAGGTGGAGGCTGTTTCTCTTACCTTTCTCCTCACTCCAGTGAGAAGTCTCAGAGTTCTGGAAGCATCAAGAATAATTTCATATAAAAATTGGCATCTCTATATCTGGATTTTTTTTAAAAAAACAAACAAAACAGCAGCTTCACTTAAGTATTTTTCTAGTTCAGATTCAGTAATGCTTTTTTAAACAGAGCACTCTGAATGAAGATTCCCTTGAATAATTATTTCTGTGAGATGGCAAGTTAAAATGGCATTGTGCCTACAGAACAAAATTAAAATATTTTATGTAACCATTCTTGCATTCATGGAGAGTACCAACACAGGTTCCTTGCAAAATGTTTTTTCTTTTGTTTTCTGGATTGGGAGGGTTTCATTTTTGCTTATCTTCTGTTTTAGTTGTTAGAAAGCAAGACATTTTTTAAAACAGAGTGAGGAATACATAGAAGAAGAGACAAAGTCTTAATCCTTTGTTTTGACAGCACATTGTACTTGATTAGTGTGAAAAGATTGGTGTATGAAACAAATGATTAAGGACTCTGGGTTGAAAAGGAGACAGACTTTACACAAGGATGGTATCACAATTCTGCAATTGAAGACATTTCAAAAACAAGGAGGGGAAGGCAAAATGCAAGTGAGAATTTGGAAGATTTTTAATTCGTGCGCTGTCTAGTAGTCTATAAAATGTAATTAATTAGTCTTTCTTGATTATGCATTTAATTATCTTTAATACTTATATACAAATTGTAAATATTATTACATTGTTTAAACTTAGTATTCAGTCTTCAAAGTAATCTCCAAAAATAATGCATTCCTTCAGGTAGCTTCCTCATCTCTGATGGTTTGGGGTTTATTTTTTTAGGTTGAGGGACTCTAGGTTAAATTTCCTTTGTATTCAGGACAAACCCATAGAAACCATACTGCTACAGAACTGCACCAATTTTCACCACAATTCCTCATTATTGTTATTCCAGAAAAACTCAC